GCGCAAGCTTTTTTTGGCATTTTATTTTGTCAAATTTCTTCTGCAAGTGATAAATTAACCTCACTGAGTTTGGTGTATTTTAGCAATATTAACTTGACTTATATTTCTGAGTTTTGTGTATTATTTTCCCTTCGTGTTTGATATTTGCTTTTAGGGAATTAGAGGGTTGTTTCTGAAGGCTATAGGCAACTGTTTCTGTCCTTCGGCCTATGGAAATATTTGGACTCAAATATATCTACTTAGCAGTTTAAAAATTGAAAATTTGGAACCATTACAAAGCTATGGCAATTGGCATTGAGTTTAGTGTAAACGATATATTTGCATTAAATTCATCTAAACTACGAAAAAAAGAATTAGAGCGTTGCGGCATGCATGTTCTGCATGCTGCACAGATTTGAATATTACAGCTTAGTTAATTAGGCCACTCTTGTCGTTTTTTTATTTTCTTATACGATGTCTTCAGCAGCAATTTGATGAAATACCTCAGAGAAAATGCATGCCCAGATGATAAAATTGTCTAATAATTAAGTCTAGTATGGATGCCAATAAAAAATTGTCCGACTAAAAAAATGGTTTTCCAGACAACTATGCCGGCGAAAATCTAACAACACTATGATTTGAATATTTCTATATTTTTATTTTTGTGCTTCAAAAGATTGAGTATGATAAGAATTCATACTATCCTGTGTAATAAGTTTTGTGCTTGTGAAAAGAACCTTGCTAGTGTTTCTTCAATTAAAAATTATCGTTTTTATTTTTCATTTTCTTATAGTGTTTGTAGCGGGTTCAAGTCGTGGCGAGCCTCTTTTCAAAGCAAGAGTAAATGTGCGTACAACAGACGTTATTCTCCGATAAAGCAGGGAGACTTATTGGTTTAGGGTCACCATTTTGTATAGTGTTTGTATCGATTGAGAGAGGAAAGGGATAGATTCATTTAACGATTAGGTGTTAAAGTTTTTCATTTTTTTTTTAACACGATTGATATAGGAAAGAGATTCAAACCTAGGATTTTGGTTGTAAGGATAAATGATCTTAACCATTTGTGCTGAATTGAAATGGAGCATGGAAGGGTTGACAAACGTCAAATCCGATAATATAGTTTGAAATCCATCAATATTTCGGAATCCACTAAAAATGGAAAAATCTCTTACTTTGATTGATGATAAATGATAATATGCTACAGTTTTATGTTCTGAACTTGAAAATCTATTTAATAAAGGAAAAGAAGAAAATCCTAAGTAATAAAAACTAAAAAAAATCCTAAGTAACGGATGAGGATCTATCCGGATCTCTGTGTGAGGAACTCATCGTGTTCGTTCATCGTACTCATGTGATTAGTTTTCATCAAGTACTGTTTGTGTTCAATTTTAAATAAAAATATTTAAAATAATTTTTAACTTTAGAATAACAGAATAACGGACACGATGAAATAATTCTCGAGATCGTCACATAGTGGATCCGGATAAAAGGAAACCAAATTCTTATGGGACAAAAGAAAGGAGAATTACCCCAAAAACCCTAAGCCCAAAAAGCCCATTACTAGAGAGGGTCAAATTTGTCCTTTCGTTCGGTAAATTTCCCATTCGTCCCCAAAAGATACCCTAGTTTCCTCCCTCTTCGCCTTCTCCTCCCACAGTTGCAGAACAAATAAAGGAAAGCTTATTCCTTCACGGCGGAGCCTCCGCCAGAGAAATTCCAGCTTAAAGTTACCGCCTTCAGTTCTTAGTTGGATTGCATAGGAATAAACCAGAGCTAATATGGCGAAGCGAGAGCTTTCCAGCACTCTCAGGAACTTAAAGGTAATAAGAAACGAAGAAATTTCAAATTCTTTTGGTTTTTCGATTAATTTTCATTATTTATTTCTGTTTTAAATTATTATTTTGATAATCCCACTTGGAATTCGATCTGGGTTTTGCTTAAATTCATCTTGGGGCGTTATAATTTTAATTTTCTTACTTTCTGATGCAGCTGTATTTTAATTTTTTATTGTAATCACTGTAGTTTATGCAAAGAGCAACTCAGAGAGAGGTGAAGAAAGAAGAAGATGCCAAACCTGCTGTGGATTTTGCTTTCCCTGCCCGCCAAATAAGAAAGTGGTAGATTTTCTTTCTCTTTATTTCTTGTATAATGTTTATCTAAAGTATTTGAGCTGTTTTGCCTTTTGGATTACGTTACTGAAAGAGTTTCAGTGTGGATTCGTAATTGTTTGTTGTTTGATAGTTTCGAAGGGAAAGTTTATTTTGTGACCTGACGTAGGTGTAGTATCTGAGGAATTGAAGAAATTATGGATTTATTGGTATTGAAAAATTGGATCATAGGAGAACCAGTTTGTAGAACCTAACTATAATTAGCATTAATAAGGTTAACCCTTTTTTGAGGTCCCTTGGTGTGCTGAGGCAAAGGCGTTAATGTCTCAACGTGGATGCGCAAAGGCCTTGATTAAGATAACTCCATGCATTGAACCGGAGACAATTACATCTGCCTGCTATAGTAATTCATTAGTTACACTACGCCATCTCCTTTTTTCTTAATTTTTTACTTGCTTCATGTGGATTGTCGTGCAGTGTGGTCATAGTGGAAGGTGACCCGCAACCTGAAGCGATTAGGGGGCGGATGTCATTTCAAAGCTTCAATCCATCGATTGATGTGAGTAAAAGGTTCATGGACCTTAAGATTTCTAATAGGATTGGCCTCTTGTGTACTTATTGATTGGCTATATTTCACCTCACATAAAATTGCTTTCATGATAGAAACTGAATCAAGTATCGGAAAACCCTGGTCAGCCTGCTGCCCCTGCCACATCTTCCGGCGTTCAAAGTGAAAAAGTGTCATTTAGGTGGGTAATTTGAGATTTCAGAACTGGATTTTTTTTTTTTTGTTTCTCTCTTTTAAATTAAGAGAGGTCGCACTTGGTGTGATGGCAAGTGCCTTCGCCCATGAGCGGTAGGTCTCGGGTTCGAGACTTGGGAGCAGCCTCTCCATAAATGGGGGTAAGGCTAGCCGACATTCACCTCTCCCAGACCCTGCGTAAAGCGGGAGCCTTGTGCACTGGGTACGACCTTTTTTCTCTCTTTTAAATTAAAAAAAAAAATTCATCTATTTGTATTAAGGAGACTAAGAAATATATGTCGGCAAAACTTTCTTCTAAAATTTGGCTTCTGCTCTCCTATCTTCTTTCTCCTATTTGCATTTCAACAGAGAAAATGGGTCCTCAATGGATGAAGCAGAGTGCTCAAATACTAATAAGTTGAACAGTAAGACTAATGGAGACCATAAAAGAAAACAGTCTGAAGTAGTTTCTGGGAAACAACATCTGAACAAGTCACCCAAACTTAATCAAGGTGGTCAGCAGCCGTCACCAAATACAAGTAAAGGTTCCTTCAGGAAACCAAAGGGTGAAAACCTGAACTGGAACGTTCTTAGACCATCAAAGGGTCAAAACAAAAGAGGTTGAGCATTAACTAGGTGATTCACTTATAGTTGTGTGTACTTAATTTTTGAATTTCTTTCAGGCCCTATCATTTGGATCTGTAATCCTGTTGTCAAATATTTAATGCTCGGTTCTCATAATTCAAATTTGTTAGATTTTAAGATGATCTGGTTTCTCTATTTTTAGTATAATAAAGAGTTCTAGCTCCAATCTATGGTTATTGATATATTTCTCTTAAAGCTTCCTCATTTTATTTGAACCTGCTATCTAATCAGTGATGCTAGGATATTTTAGATGCAGGAATTGTGGTTATTTGTTAGTATTTTTAACCTCTAGTGCTTAAGGCTAGTTTTTTTTCATATCTGTTTCCACGAGTATGAAAAGTTAAATGCATATAGTTATACTGTTACTTATTACAGTCAAGCTTTTAAAACATTGATTACATTACTATGAGCTACACTTTTGGCATTCATGTTGCTTTGGTAACTAACACAACCCATCCTGAACTCTAAGTACCACTTTTTTTCGTAAGTTAATTTTGAATCAAGTTTTCTTTATTCCCCGAAGAGGGTAAGAGCCCACTGATTAATGTGCCTCTCTGGGTTCATTTGTAACTTGGGGGAGAGTTCAGGTTGCCGTAGTAGTAAAAGTGTATATGGGTTACGCCTAAAAAAGAGTGGCTGTCACCCAGCCCTCTTTGCATTAGTATCCAGAATAGGGATTGTACATGACATTTATCTCTTAGTGTTTGGAATTGTGGAAGCTTATTAGTCATGATTCATGTGTTGATATTATGTTTCAAATTCATAAATGGTCTTGGTTTAAGACTGAATATTTTCTTGTATATCCTGTTTCAGCTAGTCGATTGATTACTCATCCCTCATTCCTTTCAATCCTCTTATTTACCACCCATCTTCGATACATCGCAATGATTTGAGTACTATGATTTTTTGCAAAGTACAAATATTTTCTTGGATGAGGCTTGAGCATTAGCTCATCACTTGACTATGTAAAGTTACGGATGAAAGTATTCACCCTTTTTTTTCTTCACTGTCCCGTGGCTTTGCGTATATGTTTACATTTTCCTGAAGGCTATTTTTTGTGGAGTTGTCACGTGTGGACAATTTTTTGGGTTGTTCGGTTGGAGAGAATGGTATCATTTTCTTAGGGAAAATGTAGGAAGTGAATATTTTGCGGGCTAGGGTTGAATTTTGGGCATCCGAATGGACTTCAGTCTTTAATTTTGTTAGATATGTACATTCTGTGTTCAATGCTGATTGAAGGGCTGCTGTAGCTTATCTCGGCTGTGTTAGTTTTGAAGGTGTTGTGCCATCTATTTCAAATTTTAATGATGATTTTGATCAGCTTACATGTTTAGTTTTCAAACAAAAACGTAAGAGTTTATAGCTTTCCGTTTTTGTTACTTCTTGTTTGTGGTTCAACGATTAGGTTACCGGCGTTATGATGAGTTTCAAGGGAGAATTGTGGTGAAGATACTGTGGTTCCTTGGTTTATCAGCAGGTTTACCACTCAGGAGAATACTTATGGTTCTCCGATGAATTTATCGATCGGTCTTCGAAACATAAAGATAGAACTTTCATTAAACCGGACTATTAGTACACCCAAATCAGATTGTAAGAGAGGGGATAGCTAACCTTAGCCACTATACTAACTAGCACATAAGTTATAACTACATATCATGCTCATAAGTTCTAAGCAGCACTAGCTAATCTAAGCCCATAAAACTACTCTCCGGAAGTCCGAAAACCAGCAGAAATCGAGCGGGATGCTAGTGCGAAACACATTTCCGGCGTTGCCTTCCATTTGATGCACAAGAAGCCAACAGGTGCCCTTGTTACATCGAGGTTGCCGTAGCGCCTTTTGTAACACTCTCAAACAGGTTTCCAGTACGAAATAGCATGGACTATCCTGCCCTTCCATCCCTGCAACACCCACATGCCATCTTCGTCGACGATGAAATCCTTATGGTAATCTCTCTTCACCATACTCCTGACTAACTTCAAGATCTCCTGGTCCGACGGTAACTGCCTGAACCCAGCTCTCTTGTTTCTAATCTGCCACTGCTTGTACGTCTCCGGCCTTTCGACCCTCCTTGAACCCTCACATGCTATCACATTGATAGCATCTCTACCATATACTTCTCTTTCATATAGCAGCCTATGTTGATCTTCTCGCGGCAGTGTCTCCTCGAACATGTCGAACAGGGAAGAGAAATGGAAGAGCGTCTCCCGGAAGCGTGTGTCGAAGAAGGGTGCATTGTAGGTTCCATTGACTACCCCGTGGATGAATAGATCCGGGTTAATTTCCCGGATCAGCTTCAGAACTGTATCCCTCGGACAGTCTGTCACTGTTTCATCGGGTAGGTTCTTTAGCCGGTACAAGCAGTTGACTACGGTTAACTCATCTCTGTCGGTTTTGATATCCTCATACCGAATTGTTTCCCAATTATTTGCTATGGCAGTGTACTCGAACTGGACATTGAACCTCCTGCAGTAATTCTCTAGGCGGCGCCCCGTCTGTTCAACCCTTTCCGAAGGCCGAAAACCTGGTTGGGGAAACTCAACTCCAGTAATACGAAGCATGGGAGGTCCGCCAGGTCTCTTGGAGAGGCCTTTGATGAGGCAAGGCCATTGGAAGCCATAGAGGACACCGAAATCAATGATGTGAAGCCTTGTCGCTTTCTCCGCTAGTTTCAGAATCGTTTTGTTAGCATATAAATTCGACATCTTGTGGAAGGGGCAAGCCTTGATGTAAGTCTGGTAAGCTTTTAAGAGATCAGCAGCTGACATACTGTTGGGAAGGGAAGTGTACGAGGGAACGCCAGAACCCAAGCGCAGTTCGAGGCCATCTGCCAAGTAATGAGCTAATCTCTGTGTGCCATCGCCGGAGGGAGAAGAGTTGAGCCTTATCTGCTTGAGTAGTTCATCTGCATTCCTTCTGTCATAGCTTGCAACAGCTTGTGCACATTGAGTCAGCATCGACCATAAATCAACCATCCCTGCATTGTCGTCTGGCTTTTTCTTGCGTGTTTTCTTGCCCTTCGATCCTCTCGACTTCCCGTTGAGCTGCAACTTCTTGCTTTCCTGGGGAGAACATGAGTTGGACTCTTGTTTGTCATTCTCACAGAGCAGTACCTTATCAAGCAGCTCCGGTAGTTCAACTTCGTCAGCATAAACCGCTGAAAGCTTGTTGCTCCTCCCGTCATCTACAGAATCCCCGTCTTCCCTCTGGCGATTCTTCTTGTTCCTTGATCCATTCGGAGAGTTACTCACATCCTTAACCTGCAGCTCCCTCGGCGCCATAACAAGCGATGAGTTGTGTTCCAGATGCGCGATTTCACCCTCGCCGCTCGAAACCAAAGGGTTTGGAATTTGGGCAGGAGAGAACTTGGAAACATCTTGAACACAATCCCAATCCGATCCAACCCAGTTTGCAGAAGCAACAGAGCCAGAACTGCTGTGATTACTGCCTGGGTTCGGGCTCTCAACATATCGATACACGGAATCAAGAAGTGGATCAGTTGAGAAGGGATTCTGCTCCTGAACAAGCACATCATGCAGTGATTTTTCAGCAGCTTGGAGGGCCAAACATTCGTGCAGCATGCAAGGCTTGTTCTCCAAGTATTCCTCTTCCTCCATAAGCATCTGACTTATGTACCTGAGAATTTCATTGGATGTGTCACCGCTGTCCGGAGAATCCACCTCCGAGCTCACGCCCGGCGACGAAGATAAATCACTAACAGGGTCGGGATTGACAAGGAAGAAACTAGGATCAGTGAAATCATGGTTGGCTTCAAACTCATGAACAAGATTGGGATTCGAGTAGGCCGGAACGGGGGCTTGCTCGAACACGAAGTTGTTCATGGGACTTGGAAATTCATCCAGAAAGGTATCCATAACCTAACAGGATTCAGAAGCAAATGAGAAATCTGATTGAATGGAGATTAGGAAGAGTATGGACACATTGATACATACATATATATATTAAAATAGCCGCCAACTTGGAATATTTAAAGGCTTCAACGAATAATGATGGATGTTCTATAATATCTTTAAAATACTAAAATAGGAACGGTGATGTTTCTTATGAACAAAATATCTTGACTTTCTAACAAAAGTTTTATCTGATCATACCTTCCAGGAAATGAGAAAGCTCACTTATTTAAATCTGGCTTGGGCCACTTAGTACAATGATTTAGTAATATTTTTTTTTTCACTTGTAAGTGAGAGGTCTTAGGTTTGATTATCGCATGTGGTGAATTTGTACCATATTATTGCTAGCCCATTGTGAGGTTTAGCTCACTCTCCCACTCTATTGGTGTAGATAATATCGTTTGTTCAAAAATAAAAAATCTAGCTTGGATTAATACATGTCATCAAAATGGATCGATTTTGTTGGGAGGAAATTAGGAAATCTTATATGAACCCATTAACCTTTTCCTACACCAAATTTAAATTTTAAATGTGCATTGGTTTTTACCTTATTACATAATTACCATCAAGTACAAAATAAAATTAACAATAAAACTATCAATAAACCCAAATTCAATAATAAAACTCTAATATCACGCGATCTTTATGTTATGTTTACTCTAGCTAAAAACCTAAGATGCTCTTACAAAAAAAAAAAAAAAGGCTTGTTTTGATCTATGGATGATGATTTTGAATCCTCTAGCTAAGATATTAATCGATTTATGCAAGTTTTTTTTTTTCATTTGGTTTCAATTTTTTAAGATTTCCGAGTGTATTGCCTGCAAAACTGACTTTAGCCAAGTATGTGTATGAAACAAAAGAAAGGAAAAAGGAATACCAATTAAGTTAATTTTTAATTTTTTTTTTCCCGTTTTCTTTCAAGTTTTTTTAGGGTCTAGGAGTGAAAGGTTGCAGTCATATATGCGACTTTCCATGGTTGCAACCAGTGACCGATCCAAAATTTTAGCATCGGGTGGTCCCAATATTATAGCAAAAAATAAAAAATAAAAAAACCAAAATAACACTGAAAAAATAAATGACAAAGTCATTACCATTTATATGTCTACCAAAATAAAAATGAGTGCAACTACATAATGTATTGTACAACTCTGATCGTGAATGCAAGACTATCAAAACTTTTACGATTAATACATAGATAAACATTGTGTTGAACACTTGAGTGACAAGTCCTTACAACATGCACTAATAAATAAACCAATCTCCCCAAGAAAAACTTGCATAACTAAACCCTAATTAGGGTTTTGGGATCAAAAGAAGAATGGAAGACATTTGCAAACCTAGAGGCTAAACCCTAATGCCAAGGGAGACATGAGGGTAAGTTCAAAGGTTTTTTACTGGCTGGAAGAGTTGAGGAATCCCAAAGTATCCTTGCCAGCGAATGAGGATAGATCATTTTTTTGAGAATTTTGATAATTTTTCAATCACATCCGTTCATCGTACATCGTGCAATAAATTTTCATCAAATGCTGTTTATATTCAATTTTAAATATAAAAAATTACAATAATTTCTAATTGTACGATATAAAATGAACAAACATAATTAAAAAATCTTTAAAATTCTCACAAAAAAAAATCCGACGAGAATCCTCTCTTCTTGCCAGCAACTAAATGGCAAAGGTGCATAGCAAAAGGCAAAAGAGCCAAAGATAAAACGAAATGTTTACTTGAATGAGATTGGGACCCATTTAATTTACTTTTTCCTTTTTATTAAAATCTCCAAATTGTTTTTTACTTGGGAATTTAAAAACCCATCACGTGAAGTCTAGAAAATGTCCAATCACAATGAGAAGAGCAGTCGGCAGTGCTGTCGGTAGTGCTCTTAAAACTTTTTATCTATTGGCTTGGCTCGAAACGGTGCGTTTGGCCAAGTCATTTTAAAACAGAGTCCTCTTTCTCCTTCTGTAACAAAAGGAGCAGTGCATCGGCAGCCATGGCTGCTGTTCTCCACCACTACAGCCCAGACTTGGGTGGTGCTCAGTGGTTTCAATAGGCCTTTATCTGAGCTTGCGGGTGGTCTCAGTCTCTTAATAGATCCGCCTCTGGTTGCAACCGTGCATTTTTGTATCTGCATAATTTGTTTTCCTGTGAAATTATCTTAATATTTGTTGTTAAGACGATTTCTTTTGTTTTCCTGATAATAAGCAATTATCAATGCACCTGCAATATTTTCCTTTTTGTTAAATTTTGATTATTATTAAAGAAAATAAAAAAGTTCGAAACTATTACAATAACTTAATAGAAGGAAAAGTTTTAATCCTGAGATGAGTGCGTGGAAACTCAACATTATATCTATTAAGATTTTGTATCACATGCCAATGCACCTGCACCAATAGCTGGTAATATGTTCATAATGTTTTCTCTGTAGGAGTATGATAGTTTAGTTTATACGCTGTGAATCATTATGAATTTATACCAACACAAGGCGATTAATTAGTGCTTTTTTTTAGAAAAAAGTTTTGTTTTTGTTTTATGAAACTGTTCACTGTTGACATGAAATTTCGCGTAGTTTCTAGTTTTGTTCTTTAATTCATTGTACAGATGAATTTTGTTGGCAATTACATATTGTGAGCCCAATAAGTTTAAATGTTTAACGAATTTAAGTGGTTTTTTTTATTTATATTTTTGAATGAGTGTAAAGATAAATTTAAATATTGAATTGAGTTTGTGAGAATAGCTTAAGTAATAAATTTGGGTTTAAAGAGATATTGATAGTTGAATTAAAAATAATATAAGTGTCGAGGGTGTAGAGAGAGGTTATGGGTGCAAATCAAATTTCCCATGAAATTATTGGGCATGTTTGAAAATTCTTTTAAAATAACTAAAAGCTTTTTTGGATCACCAAAAGCGCTTCCAATAGAGTTTGGCGGAAAAAGTTAAACATGCTTCTGGGTTGAAAAACGCATTTGAAGCGCTTTCTAAAAGAAGCACTTGTTGTGCGCTTCCTTCATATTGGTGTTTTTCCATAAAACACTTGCATTTTTCCTTTAAAAAAAAAAAAAAAAAAAAGAAGCACATAGAACCGAGTTACAAACATTTAACAGAAACTAGAATTTGGAAGGTCACTAAACATGTAATAACCTATATTATATAAATCACCAATTCGTATTCTTCATTGTTTGTGCTTTGATGCTTCGATTATGCTTTCGATAAACAACATGTGCCCCGTTTTGCTTGTGTCGCTAATTATACAATAAATTGTATACAACTCACAGTTTAGTGTGTTCAATTTTATTTTATGCGCTACGGTTCTCTATTTGATTAAAAATATAGAATCGGTTTTGCTTGCAGGCGTAACACAATCTATTTAGTATATAAACACAAAAGCATCATGCTTTCTTTACAAGGTTGAATACTTATTTATTATATGAGTATAATACCAATTCATGATCAGATTATGTGAATCTGCCTCAGAACTCAGGTGCCTTAATTAGTGCGGTGGCTAATGAGTGACAACCCCAAAATAATTGGATTAGGTTAATAAAAAAATGATTTGCATGTATTTTATGGTAAGAGTGGAATATTATCACAGTTCCTTTTAGCTTTTGCTTTCACTAGGTTATTAATTTAAGTTTTGATTGGCATCAGCAGAGACAAAAGGTTAAACTTGATTGGACAAAGCTCTCATTGTTTAGTACTAATCAGATCAATAATGTTGTGTATTATGATGATTAATTAACAATAAAGCATTAGTGATTATCCTTATACTTTTGTTGTTTGGGTTGGACAACCAGATACATCGGTATGTAAATGTGAGTAGGGTGGGGGGACCAAAGAATCCACGAGATGAATTGATTTTGTTTTGTTTTCTTCTTCTTTTTTGATATTCATTGGGAGAAACATTGTTTTAACATGATGAAAGTTTGTTGTCTAGTTCTGACTTATATGAAACGTGATACAAATCGTTATCATCGGAAGCATTTTTAATTTCAAACACGCTTTACGTAGGGGTAAGGTATTTAACGCTACAGTATGAGACTACGAGCACAATTTGGAATACCATTATTTAAAGTAATGATCTCGTTGAGTTTGCATTCTCAGACAGATGTTTATATTGTCGTACTGTGAGTTTAAATATGGTGTCTTGTTGTGTATTTATGGCAAATGTGTTATAAGCAACTGTTTATGGCCAAAAGCTCTTTCAAACATGCCCTAAGATCTGAAGAGATAGACAAGGTATCAACTTTTGGATTTTTTGTGTGGGCATTTTGATATAGACACCTCGTTTTAGAACGTCATAGACTAAACATCTCTTCTTTTTTTCTTTTTTCTTTTTTAAATAAAAAAAATTTTCCTTTTAAAATTTTGATTAAATATTAAATATTTCTCTTACAATTTTTGGGACAAAATTTTATTTTATTTGAAGTATATTCTTCACGTTTCTTTTTGTCAACTTCACGTTCTTTCTTTGTTAACCATTTTATACTCCTATTATTAATGCGTTTATTATTCATCTCTTTATGGTTATATCAAATTTTTTATTGTTTATTATTATATTTGTTTTAATAAATTAATTAGAATGTTCCAAAATTAGTTATCAGGTACATAAACATAATATAGGTACGTTTGATTGTATGGTTGTTTGATTATATAAGTACGTTTGGTTACCGATAACATGTATACATTTGGTTTAAGGTACATTTGAAATATAAACGTACCAAAAGTCGATACATTTGTTATCAACGAATCATATATTTTAAGGGAACTTTAACGAAAAGCACCCGGTACTGTTCACTTTAACAAAAAACCACATTTTTACACTAAAAAGTCAATCCTGGTACTATTCACTTTACCATTTATTTTGTCCTTATCATTAATACTCAAAGTTTTCAAGCCATTTTCATTAGTTTTTCTATATTTTAATTACTTTTTTTACTATTAATGAGGAATTACTTTAATTAATTTTTATAGAAAAAAGTAGGAGTTTTAATGAAACACTCATGGTATTGTTCACTTTTAACATTAAAAACATTTTAAGCTTAGAAAGTCACTCATGGTACAATTCACTTACACCTTTATTTTGTCATTTTGATTA